CCATCCGTTCGTCTTGGCAGGTGCTTGCGGGCTCCTCTTGGAGGATCATCCAGTCCCCCGATCACCCCCCGAGCACTAAATCCCACCCCGCTGATATCAATTGTGGTCCTATGTGGGGTTTACGGACCCCTAAGATTGACCTCCCTTATAAGCAGGTCCCACCCCGCTGATATCAATGGTGGTCCTATTCGGGGGTTTGCGATACTGAGGGGCCGCTAAGATAGACCCCCGAATAGTAGGATTCCCTCATAAGAAGGGCCCCAATAAGGAACCCCTGATTTCGGAAACCCCCATTCCGCTGATATTATTGTGGTCCGACTTGGGGGTCCGCGAACTAGGGGAGGGTCAGTATGGGTTTGAAGGGTTTGAAGGGTTTGAAGGGTTTGAAGGGTTTACAGGGTTTACAGGGTTTGTAGCAGGCGCTTAGGTCTCCGCTTATGGCTCGTGGGCCCCTTTTTTTCTGCAGGGGAACCCCAGAGACTCCAATACCCTTAATAAAGGAATATTCCTTAGACCATATAAGGAACCCTCTTATGGTTCAAGGAATATTCCTTAGAACATATCAGGAATCCTCTTATCGTTAAAAGTTAAAAGAATATTTCTTTTCAGAGTAGCCAAAGTTCAAGGCAAGGTCCACATGTCTAACGGCACCTCGCCGCAGGCTTCAATCGCCTCTGCTACACGCGGATTTCCAGTGTACGACCGGCCTGTTGCGCCCCAAACCCCAAGCCCAAAGCCCTAATCCCTAAACCCCAAACCCCAAACCCCAAAACCCCAGACCCCAAACCCTCATCCTGCAGCTGTGAAGCCCAGAATCCCGATGCACTGAACCCAAGTCCCGAAACCCGATAGGCGCGAAATTGGTTTCGAGGCCTACTCGGTAGGGACCACCCAATATTTCCCCTGACTGTGTTTAAGAGGACTGTATGTAGGAATAGTTGTTCAGAGGGCGTCAAGGGTCATCCTAGCTTAGGATTTCCACGGAGCTCCCTCACTCTTGTCGAACACGATCCGAAGTTGCCTAGGGTTTCTCAACAGCACGGACTTGTTCTTTCGCGAACTGCCATTGCTGCAAAACCAGAAGAGCCCAACACCCTCGTAAACCCTAAACCCTAAATCTAAACCCTAATCCTTAAACCCGCCCGAAACCCTAAACATAACAATATTGGAAATTTAGGGGTTTAGCAGAGAGCCAACCTGCACACTGCTTCGAGTGTGCGACAGGTAGGGACGAAGATGCAAAACCTTTCCAAACGTTGTTGCTCGTTTCAGGCTAAGTCTTTGCACTTGAGGGTTTACTTGTAGAGATCCAGCCCGAAGCCCCAAGGGTTTAGGGTTTAGGGTTTAGGGGTACTAAGCTCCAAAGGCCCCAGGCCCTAACAATCACGTTTGTTACAGCGGTTCCAAGAACCAATTCAGGGTCGAAGCATCCCCAACGAGAGTCTGTCTGCCCACAGGCTCGCCCTAAACCCTAAACCCTAAACCCTAAACCCTAAGCCCTAAGCCCTCAGCCCTCAGCCCTCAGCCCTCAGCCCTCAAGCTTCAACCTTGCCTGGCCTACAGTTTTATGGGTTCTACCTACTAGTTAAGGGTAGCTACTACTAATCTGTAGGTAAAGAGAGTCCCAAGTGAGCCCTAAACCCCAGCCCTTTAAAGGGGTTCGATTGGGAACCGAAATCCTTGACTCCCCACGAAGAAACCCTAGGCCCCATAGGCCCCCCGGATTCTTTAGGATCCAGGGTTTAGGGTTTCGGTTTGGGGCTACCAGTCCTAGGTAGGATAGGGGGGACCCTTAAAAGGGAACCCCTTCTTAACCCTCTTCTGGCTCTCTTAAACAGGGACCTTATTCAGAGGGTCTATGTCCCCAAGGTCCCCCTAATCCTATCCCCTAACCAAAACTCAGAGTAGGCCCTTGTCCACTTTTTTATTCAGGGCTTAGGCTCCCATAGAAGGCCCTTTCAACCAAAAGGGCACCCTTTTTGATTCCTAGGTTACTCGGGTCTAAGCCCCCAACTGGCAACGAAGGGTTTAGGGTTTCAGGGTGAAACCAAGACCCTACAAACCCTGAACCACATTACCTACTTTCGTTCGGAATTTTGTTTGGTTTTGTTTCTCTAAACTTCTAGCAGCCCGAGGGGGAACATCAACCATACTATCTTCAGATTAGGGTTTTATGCTTTTAAGGAGGGGAGTAACAAACCTTCCTAGGGTAGTTACATGGTCCCTTAATTAGTGTGGGCGTTTAAACCTTACATACCCCTTATATACCCCATGCGGCCCAAGGGCCCAATACTTCAGAATCCTTGGACCATATTGAGGGCCCGTGTAGCTACCCCTAGAAACCCGTGAGTTGTTGCAACAAAACAGCAATGTTGTGTTTATCTTGAAGGCTCTACACCAGCTCATGCCCTTGTTATTGTTTGGGGTTTGGGGTTTGGGGTTTGGGGTTTAGGGTTTAGGGTTTAGGGTTTAGGGTTTAGGGCCGCTAAACCCCGAAACCTTCAGCCCTCAGAGTTCGCGCGCGCCAGGAAAGCAAGCGCTTCCTCTGCGATCCTGGGCAGAGCCTGACCGCCTTTGCCGGGCTCTGAGGGTTCAGGGTGTAGGGTTTAGGGTGTAGGGTTCAGGGTTTAGGGTTTAGGGTGCAGGGTTTAGTGTTCCCAAACACCGTTCGAAGACCCAAGCCCCTAGAAACCCTCAAACCCTACATCCTACGTAAGCTTGTACATCTAAAGCCTCTAAACCCCTGAACCACTAAACCCTACACCCCTAAGCCTCTACATCTAAAACCTCTAATCTCCTGAGCCTCCCTAAACCTCATCTCAAAAACCTCTAAACCCTTGAGCCCCTGAACCCCTAAACCTCTAATCCTCTACAAAACCCTAAACCCTAAGCATGAACCCTAAACCCCAAACCCTAAACCCTAAACCCCAAACCCGAAACCCCAAACCCTAAACCCCAAACCCTAAGCCCTCCAACCCTGTCAGCCAGCAGACCTAAGGCACAAAGTGCTGCTCTAAACCCTTAACCCTAAACCCTAAACCCTAAACCCTAAACCCTAAACCCTAAACCCTAAACCCTAAACCCTAAACCCTAAACCCTAAACCCTAAACCCTAACCCTAAACCGCTCTACATGGCTGCCCAGGCCTTCCCCACGCAGACTGCCACGCAGCAGGGTTGAGGGCCCAGCCACGCAGGGTTTAGGGTTCAGGGTTTAGGGTTTGGGGTTTAGGGTTTAGGGTTTAGGGTTTAGGGTTTAGGGTTTGTGGGGTGCAGCCCGTCTTTCCTTCAACAAGGGACGAAGTGTGCTGTCCCTCAATGAGGGAGATGTAGGGCATCTTCACTTGTACTTTTGGGAGGGTCTGGAGGCAGGGTGCAGAGCCTAGAGGGCTTAGAGGTTTAGGACTATCATGGGACTCCTACCTCTACGGCTGCACCCTTGGGTTTGGGCAGCCTGTTTAAAGTGAAGAGTTACATCTTGGGATGTTCCCCCGTATTCTAACCGTCCTGAATAGTACCCCCCCTACTATAATCCCTACTAAGGACTGTTAGCATAAGGAGGAGCGTTCTAGGTAGACTCCCTTGAGGTTAGTTGTCTTTGGGAACTTGGTTTTCTTTTGGGGCTTTCGGTCTTCGGGTGTAGCCTTGGAGGATTCAGGTTTTTTATGCGTAGGGTTTGTAGGGTGTGTAGCGCAGCGTTACTTTAAACCCTAAATCCTAAACCCTCAAGGATTTCGGGTTCAAAGATGAGGTATCCAGGTTTCAGGATGTATGGTTTAGAGGTTAGGGTTTGGGGGCCCCATGTAGATATCACTGGCTGGGTATGATTTTGTTAGAGGGTTTGGCGTTTAGGGCGTCGGGTAAACGCCCGTGAAGAACCAGCAGCCACACAGCTTCAACCCCTGAACCTCAACTATCACCCTCCTGAACCCTAAACCCTAAACCCGAACCCTACATACATACGCGGATCCCCGAACACTTTGTGGGCCTCCCTAAGCCCTTCCCACGAATCATGAGCTCCACACCCCAAACCCTAAAGACCAAGACCTCAAGCTCGAAACCCCAAAACCCCAAACCCTAAACTCTAAACCCCAAACCCTAAACCCCAAACCCTAAACCCCAAACCCCAAACCCCAAACCCCAAACCTTGTTTGAGGCAATGTGCTCTTCGAGGCCAAAAGTCGCCCTCGACGGGCTCTGACGGCTTCGGGGCTATCCTGAGGGTCCATGTAGCTAACTAAGGGAAGTTACATGGTCCCTTAATGGGTTCGGGGTTTAGGGTTTAGGGTTCAGGGTTCAGGGTTTAGGGTTTAGGGTTTAGGTTAAGGAGTATAAGGAGGGACCTCTAGAAGGGACCCCTATATGTAATCTTATTCCCCTATACAACCCCTTCATGACCCTTAAAAAAGTCCTTACATACCTAAGTAGCCCCCTAAGGTCCCCAATGAAGGGTCCTTCCTTTAGTCCCTTGATTCGAGGTCCTGAATATGGTCCCTTACCTTCTCTAAGGTGTTCTGAAGTATGGGCCCTTGGGTGTTACAGGGTAGATAAGGGGTATATAAGGAGTCCCCCCCCTTGAAGGGCCCATGTTAAGGGAACATGCAGCTACTCTAAGGAACTATACAGTCGGGGTACGCAAGGGGAAATGCTCATAACATGGCCTTCTACGGTATATTAAGTCTGCCTTTCCTACTGTTTATGCCATGTGGTCATTCGAGGGCCCCTAAAGTCGTCCAGCCTTATAAACCCTAAACCCTAAACCCAAATCACTGCCCGAAGTCCTGTGGATCAAGCGCTCAGCAGGCCTGAACCCAGACCCCTCGGAGAGTCCAAAAAGTAGATCCCTCTAAGGGTTCCTAAGAACATGACCCATTAGTAGTATAAGGCTTAGGGTTTAGGGTTTAGGGTTTAGGGTTTAGGGTTTAGGGTTTAGGGTTTAGGGTTTAGGGTACGATCTTGGGAGTTCTAAAATCTCGGATCCCCCGAAAAATTCTGGGAAAGGATGCCTAGCCTGTTAGAGTCCTCAGCCGATGGCGATTTTGGGAAGAAGTCTGTCGTGGCCCTGCAGAAGTTCCTGAACCAGGACCCCTTCCCAAATTGGGTGTAGGAATTTTGGGGTTTAGGGTTTAGGGTTTGGGGTTTAAGGTTTAGGGTTTAGGGTTTAGGGTTTAGGGTTTCCGGTTTAGGGTTTAGGGTTTAGGACCCATTCCCAAATTGGGTTTAGGGTTTTGGGTTTTGGGTTTAGGGTTTACATGTAGGGTTAAGGGTTTTAATTTCAGGTTTAGGGTTTAGGGTTTAGGGTTTAGGGTTTAGGGTTTAGGGTTTAGGTTTAGGGTGTAGGGTGTAGGGTGTAGGGGTTAGGGCAGTCTTCACAAGAAGAAGAAGTAGCCCTAGAACCAGACATTTCCTAAGTGAGGCAATTCGAACTTTGTGCTCTGATCTGGCTTAGAGGGCTGGAAGACTTAGTGACTTGTGCAACACCCCAGAAGACCACAAACCCAAAACCCAAAGCCCGAAGCCCAAGCCCCAAGCCCTAACCCCTAACCCAAAGCCCTAAGCCCTAAGCCCTAACCCCTAAGCCCTAACCCTTAACCCCTAAGCCCTAAGCCCTAAGCCTTAAGCCCTAAGCCCTATGCCCTAACCCCTAACCCTTAAGCCCTAAGCCCTAAGCCCTAAGCGCGATCAGGAGGGCTTCTACTGCGGAACTGAAGATGGTGATTGGGGCAACACAACTGAGAAAGCCCTTCAGCTCTTCCTCAAGGATGAAGGAGAAAAGGGACTCGGGGCATGCTTTGTGTTGGTTTCAGGGTTTAGGGTTTAGGGTTTAGGGTTTAGGGTTTAGGGTTTAGGGTTTAGGGTTTAGGGTTTAGGGACTAAAGGAGGGACCCTTTATCAGGGACCTTTAGGGGCTCTTTCCGATTCAGGACTGTTAGGAAGGGGCAACATCCCAGGCTTGCTCTGCTCTTGTTGGCTGAGGAGACTTTGAGCGCAGGTTTGGGTGGCGTGCAGCCAGGAGGGATTGAGCCGCCATGCCCTTTACAGGTCTTTAAGTGACGTCAAGCGAGTGAGCAAGCAAAGGGTGGGCTGTCAAGCTGTATAGAACCCTAAGGGTCCATGTACCTAAATGGGGAATACTTGGGCCCCAAAGTCCCTATATAGGAGGTACTTTAAGGCCCAAATACTCCCTATTTAGGTACATGGACCCTTAGGGGAAGCGGAGTCCTTGCTGACATGCCAAGAAACACTGACAGATGAAACTCTGGATCCTAAAGGCTCTACTTTCGTAGGCGCTCATGAGTCGAATCCGCGTGAATTCAGCTGCTTGCGTTGCCTTTTACTATAGATCTACCCGCGCCGGTGATTTTGGGGCACGTGCGTGGAGGATATGATGTGGACTTCAAAACGGGGGTGAGGGACGGCGGCAAGAACACCGAGCTGTTCCAGCAGTTCCTGCAGGACGAGGATCAAGACTGCAAGCCTGATGGGTCATGGGGCAAGACCCTTCCATCGTCAGCTGGAGCGTTTTCTAGGACCTAGAGTAGGCCCCCTATCCTTTTTTGTTTGTTTTAAGGTTTAGGTTCCCTTGCAAGCCCCTCTAAGCTAAAAATGTCACCTTTTTTGTTCCTAGGTTGCTCTTGGGTCTAGTTCTTAGTTCCTTAAGATCTAGTAAGGTAATTCCTCACTGTATTTCCTCACACAAGAAGCATGTCTCGTGGCTCTTCCCTTGGTTTCATGGCCGTGCACCCGAAACCCCAAACCCTAAAACCTAAGCCCCAAACCCTAAACCCTAAACCCTAAACCCTGAATCCTCAACCCTGTGGTTCCAGCAGCCGAGTCAAGGAAATCTGCCAAAGCCCTCCAGACCTTCTTGAAGAATGAAGACCTGAGAGAGGAGCCGCCGTTGTACAAAGGCCACGACGATGCAGGGCGATTGGGGGAAGCTCGAACCCTTTGTAGGGTTTAGGGCGTAGGGTTTAGTATCACTCATAGTACGTATCGCTTCATACCCTCTAATCTGACCGGACTTAGCCCGATTCTGTTCTGTCTGTTAGCCAGTGACGTAACGCGATGGTGCGACCCTCAACAAAAAAGAGTATGATAACTTTGGGCTCAGGATTTTGTCTCATAGGGTTGTTGCAGTCGAAACAAGCTTGTGTTAACCGCTTGAGCCACGCCACATTTTTTCTCTCCGCTTTCAGGCAAGGAGGACGGGGATATGGGTGCTGCGACGATCCTGGCGTTGCAGAAGTTTCTGACGCAACGAGGCTACTCCCGAGGGATCTAGCACCGTTTCAGGCGGGTAGCTTTCCACCGCCTACTCCCTCATCTGACCTTTAGTGCCCTTATACACCCTAAACCCTAAACTCTAAACCCTAAACCCTAAACCCTAAACCCTACAAACCCTTAAAACCCCAAAAACCCCTGTGAAAGCCTTAAAAAAAGGTCCCACCTGGGAGCTCCATTCCTGAGGGTGTCCTGAAAAGGGAGGGTTTAGGGTTTAGGGTTTAGGGTTTAGGGTTTAGGGTTTAGGGTTTAGGGTTTAGGGTTTAGGGTTTAGGGTTTAGGGTTTAGGGTTTCAGGTTTTAGGGTTTAGGGTTTAGGGTTTAGGGTCTAGGCTCTGGGATGAGAAAGGCTGCCCCACTTTGGTTGGCTACGTTGTTCTTAAGGTCCATGCTAGGGTTTAGGGTTTAGGGTTTAGGGTTTTGGGTTTAGGGTGTAGGGTGTAGGGTTTATAGGGTTTAGAGGGCTTCTCGAGGAATTAGGGTTTTTAGGGTTTAGTGTCAAGGGCTTAGCGGTCTCCGAAAACAGTCTGTTTGTTTGTTTTAAATGGTGTTTTCATTTTTTGTTTGCTTTTTTTTTTGTTTTTTCTTTGGGTCCTGTAGTCAGAACCATGTAGATCGACCCTCTTGGGTATATTTGGTATTCTTACTCAGGGTTCCTATCATGAGAGTTATCGTGTTCTTTTTTGTCAGTTTTTTGGGGTCCTTCAACACTAATAAAACCCTGAACCCTAAAGGCCCTAAACCCTAAACCCTTTTCGGGGAAGATACCCATTTGGCCCCCTTGTTGGGAACATGGTGTTATCGTGCCCGGTCTGGAGACTTAGTTGCCTTGAGTGCTGGGCGCTTTGGGGCGCTTTGGGGGTTGGGGCTGAGGGGTCAGGCTGTAGGGTGAGCAAAAGAGTCCGCTGGCTGGTGTTCTATTGGGATGTACTTGCCAGGCCGGTTGTGGGAAACTTGCAGGTACGTATTCGGAGGTATTCTGACATTCTGAAACACGAAACATCAACTCAGTCCTACATATATATCTGTATATATATATAGATATGTGCACGATACGGCCCTAGCACTGCAATACAATATGTCTGTGATCAGTGTTCATAACTGGAAACAACCCCAAACCCTGAGCCCCAGACCCTAAGCCCCAAACCCTAAGCCCCAAACCCTAAGCCCCAAACCCTAAACCCCAAACCCTAAACCCCAAAACCTAAACCCCGAACCCAAAACCCCAAACCCTCAACCCCAAGCCCTGCACTCTGAACCTCCAACCCTAAACCCTAAACCCCAAATCGCTGATCGCCTGAAGGGTGCAATCCTGGTTCGTTGGACAGCGGCCTTGGCAAGCAGACGGTGACCGCCCTACAGCAGCTCGCAGCGGATGTAGGGTTTAGGGTTTAGGGCTTAGGGCTTAGGGTTTGGGCTTAGGGTTTAGGGTTTAGGGCTTAGGGTTTAGGGCTTAGGGCTTCGGGCTTAGGGCTTAGTGTTTAGGGTTTAGGGTTTAGGGCTTAGGGAACTTCGGAACTGCTTCCTTAGCCGATAGTTGACCTTTTGAACCTGTTTTTTCCTCTTTTGGTTTTTGTTAAAACTCTTGTGTAAGAATAATCATAAAGCTGAACACGTTGGCTTGTAGTACGGCCCTGCTTTGTGAAGCAATCCATGGGGCATTTGCTTGAGCTTCCTGGTTTAGGCCTCAACCCTGTCAACTCCCCCCTAAACCCTCAAAACCCTAAACCCCGAATGCGGTTGGAAGTTGCCCCTGGCTGTTGGACCCTAAACCCTAAACCATAAACCCGAAACCCTAAACCCTGACCCTAAACCCGAAACTCGAAATCCGAAACCCGAAACCCGAAACCCTAACACTAAACTAAACCCGAAACACTAAACCCTAAACCCCAAACGAGGAAGTTCTTGGCCATGCAGCCGGACGTGCTGGAGCTCAAGGCGAAGAAGCCGAGGGCCAAGAAGAAGATGCTCGCCCCCATCGGTTGAAAGCCTTGACATGTACTATCGTTTTATATGTGTTTGAATTTAAATCTGTGTGTGTAGATACATTTGCATACTATTCTCCGCACACACACATACATATACATACATATATATGTACACATATATGTACCTTGGTGCCTAAACCCCCAAAACCCTAAACCCTAAACCCCTAGACCCCAACAACCCTAAACCCTAAACCCCGAACCCCCAAATCCCTAAACCCTAAACCCCTAAACCCTGGCAAAGCAAGGAAGGCAGCTGCGAAGGCGACGCCATCAAGCTCTAAGCCGAAGGCGCCTGGGAGATACATCTTGGTAGCCGGTTTAGGGTTTAGGGATTAGGGTTTAGGGTTTAGGGTTTCGGGTTCAGGGTTCAGGGTTTAGGGTTTAGGGTTTAGGGTTTAGGGTTTAGGGTAGCCTAGTGGTACCCTTATGAGTTTAGGGTTTACGGTTTTGGGTTTTTAGGGTTTAAGATGTTTTTGGTTCAAGGTTCCCTCATAAAGCAGCCAACCCCCAAAAAAGGGTGGCCACATTGTAATATGCCTACTGGGCTACCAAGACACGATCGTGTCGTGTAGTAATGGCAAGCTCTTCAACTACATTACCCTACACTGGATACGATTTTGGGCTATGGGCTTTCGCTTCTGACATGTCTTACACTGTAGAATGCTAGACCAAATAGGGGTTTTCCAAAAAATAGGGGTTTTCCAAAATAGGGGTTTACCAAAATTGGGGGGCTCCTGTACTAAGGATTGTACTATCTCGGGGGGTCTATAGGTTCCAGCATTTGCGGAAAGGCCAGCTTAAACCCTATTTGAAGAAACTCCCAGGTTGTATTGAGAAGGGGCGAATATAGGGGTCGGAATAAATACTACTAATAGTATTCCCTCATACTCTATAGTCCCCTTATAACTATACCATAAGATCCCCCCAAAAACCCTATTCTACTTATTCAGGCCCCTATATTCTATCCCCAAAGCCTAAAACCTACGCCCGAAACCAAAAAGCCCTATTCTCTTTAGGCCCCTTACACTACATTCTATACCCACACCCTAGGGTAAGACCCCCCCTTGCATGAGCCTGCGCCCACGGCTCAGGCGGAGGCGAAAAAGGAGAGCTCCGAGGCCGGCGCGGAGAGAGAGAGAGGGAGAGAGAGAGTTTAGGGTTTAGGGTTTAGGGTTTAGGGTTTAGGGTTTAGGGTTTAGGGTTTAGGGTTTAGGGTCCAGGGTATAGGGCTTAGGGTTTAGGGTTTAGGGTTTCGGGTTTAGGGTGTAGGGTTTAGGGCCCCTAAACCCTAAACCCCTACATAAGCCCTAAGCCTTAAACCCGAAGCATGGCTCAGGCTCCCTGGGAGGCTTTTGTAAGAAAGTAAGAGCGAGGAGGAAGAGAAAGAATGAAATTACGGACATAAAGAAGCCAATAAGGAACTCCAGAAAGAAACTCTTAAAGAAAATCAAGAAAGACATAAACAACAAAGAAGCAATGCACAAACGAACGAGAGAAACAAAAGACGAAGAGAGAAGAGAGATAATAGCCTGGGGAGCGGCGACTTCTGGTGGCTATGTCTCACAGATACCCTAAACCCTAAACCCTAAACCCTAAACCCTAAGCCCTAAACCCTAAATCCTAAACCCTAAACCGAAACCGTTGGGGTTTCTCAGCTGCAAGGGAAGGATTCTTGACTCTAAGAAGTTCGGAGAAGGTAAGAAGGCAAGCCGGGATATATACCCTATGCTACCATATTTCCTTCTAACGTATATGAACCATGAGAACCCTGACCCTTATACTACTATAATTCGATCCGACTAAGGTATATGAACCATAAAGCCCTCATGCATGGAGACAGCCGTGCTCTAACACTGTAGGCGATCTCCAAAACTAAACTGCGCAGCCTCAACCTTAGACCTGAACTTGCTACAGCAGGGTTTAGGGTTTAGGGTTTAGGGTTTAGGGTTTAAGTTCGCCTACTGGTTCTTAGCAGGGTATGAGGGAGTGAGGTACCCTACATATACTCCCTCTCGAAAGGGTCTCTATCTCTCCCGATATTTCCAGGGGGGATATAAGGTACCGAATTCTCTCATTCCTTACACAGAACCAGGAGGTGAACTCTAACCCTAAACCCTAAACCCTAAACCCCAAACCCTAAACCCTAAACCCTAAGCCCCAAACCCTAAACCCTAAACCCTAAACCCTGCTGTAGCCTCCAGCCAGGCCCGCCTGGCGCGAGAAACAGTCGAGATGGCCGAGATGATGGCCGCTTGCGAGTGAGCGCCTTTGAGCAGACCCTAAACCCTAAACCCTAAACCCTAAACCCTAAACCCTAAACCCTACATGCTCTTGGCTAATGGAGAAGTAAGCGCTCTGCTGTCTCACCTCTCGCTGGCAAAGCCGGCAACAGCACCCAGGAGAGCCATTGTCAGGGATGGCGGCTTGGAAAAAGCTAGGGTTTAGGGTTTAGGGTTTAGGGTTCAGGGTTTAGGGTTTAGGGTTTAGGGTTTAGGGTTTCGGGAAGGACTGAGTCCGTCGGAGCTAGCAGCGCAAAGAGGCGTCAGCCGGTTTTGGTGTGCAGGGTTTAGGGCTTAGGGTTTTTTTAGGGTTTTTAGGGTTTAGGGTTGAGGGTGTAGGGTTTAGGGTTTAGGGTTTAGGATTATGCTTTTCGTGGACTATGTGTTCTACTGCATGGGTACATGACTATAAGGCCACCAGCAGGTCAGCCCCATAAGCCCTCAACCCCACACCCTTTCTCCCAAACCCTCAACCCCAAACCCTAAACCCCAAACCCTAAATCCCAAACCCTGAACCCCTAAACCGTACACCCAATAAGGCCTAACATGCAAGCAGGTGAAGTGGGACGGCTTGGGCAGGGACATGCTTCCAGCCGGTGCCTTCCTCACGTGCGCCTTCAGGGTTTAGGGTTTAGGGTTCAGGGTTTGGGGTTGAAGGTTCGTCGAACACCGATGCATCCTTTGTTGAATCATTGAACCTGGGTTTAAAAAAGGAATCTTCGCGCATCAGGGATG